TATATACAGGCCAAACTGGGAGAAATTTTGATACAAGGTACCACGAACATGTCATTTCGGATAAAAAATCATTAATGTACGAACATCTTCAAAATTCGAAACATAAAATAGATAAAGATAATTTAAAGATCCTACATACATGCGAAAAAGGGAAAATGATGAATCTGTTGGAATCTATGGAAATAAACAGGTCAAAGAAAGATCCCAATTCTATTGTCCTCAACGAACAACTTGAATTAAACAATAGTCCTCTCCTGAACCTATAGTCCAGATCCCAAAACCTACATTATATTGAAAGCTTTGTTATGTTCATGGATTTTACAGGTATATGAAACGCAGGTACCGGATATCAGGTATATCAGATATATCAGGTATATCAAATCATTTATGCTAGAATAATATAGGTATAAATTACTCGGATTTAAATGTAATCAGTTAGTTTTGAAAATGGTATAATAGCCGAAACCGGTCAACAATAAAGAAATATAGTGGAAAATAGACAAAAGTGTGTTTTTGTAGTGTATCCTCAGTAAAGATATTAGTGTTATTTTCGTTGCGGTACTTACGGTTGAAATATTGATCATGAGCAAAAATCGGGTTCGACGACGGGGTACGTGAAATGATAACATGCTGAGAATTTCTGAAGAATCAATGTTGTTATTCAAGAGTTTGTGCATGAATATCACTGCTGATAATTGACGTCGCTATTCTAAAGATAATATTTTAAATTAATATCGTATATCCAAAGACCTTGTTGAGTTATAGTTTGGCCACTTGTGATATCGCTCAAAAAATAAATACCTCAAGAATTTGTTCTGAATCGTCTCTAGTCCTTTCATATAGGTTTGGTACTCCGCAAACCAAATAATGGAAGCAAACTCCAATTTCAATTCACCAACGAAAAATGAAGTAATTTAATAATGCCTATATTAGAGAGTGAAGAAGTTTGTCTGTTTACAAAATCCAACATTCGACTACCAGTTTCCATAATATCTCGTATATGATCAACAAATGAGAATTGTGTATTACACCTCAATCTAAGATCTTTGGTATCAGTTTTTCTTTCGAAAACCATACCATCAATCTCATAACTAAATATGATTGGCTCTTTTATGCGAGTTATTGAGATATGTACAGATATGCAGATTTGCAGATATGTACAGTCTTGGACTGCTTAGACTGATTTAAAGAGTTTCAAATCAGCAGCAAAAAGAAGACAGTCCGAATATTTCAAAGTTAATGGTAAATCATGGATGAAAATTATGAATAGAAGTGGACCTGGACTTGATCCTTGTGGTATACCTGACCTAGCTGGACATTGATCCAAAATTTTTCCATTATGTTTGACAATGAAAAACCGATTTTGTAGATAATTTTTCGTTAGTTCTGAAAAGTTTCTTGAAGCTTTTCCATCAGAATATCATGATGAACCTGATCAAAAGCTTTACGAAAATCAGTAGAAGCAACGTCCAATTGAGTTTTATTACCTAAAACTGAATTCAAATAAATTTGTATTGATAGACTTTTGTCTCATAAATCCATGTTGTTGAGGTACTATATATTTGTTGATTTATTCACTGATTTCCTTAAAAATTATATGTTCGAATAATTTTGCTAGTGAAGACAAAAATGATATATACCTCTATAATTTTCAATGTTCAATTCATTTCCAGATTTGTATATAGGCGTCGTAATTGAAGTTTTCCATACACCAGGAT